ATTTATATATATTAATAATATATATTATTAATTATAATAGTATAATATTTTTTGATAGAAGGACTACAACATACTAGGCTTTACAACAGACAATATTATGGGATATCAGTAGTATGGTATCATGGTCCCTTGGTTATAGACAACATATGGAAAATCATATAGACTTACTGACAATTCTTTGAATAAACTTCTTAGTTCCCGGTGCCCGTGCTTCTCAGCGATACTTGCTGGGTCATCTCCATATTTGTTGGTTATTTTGCAAGCCCATGTAGCCTCCGGACAACTGAGTAGAAATTTTGCAAGGTTTTTTAATCCAAATCTGGCTGCACAGTGAAGCAGAGTAGGAAATTCTTCCCAATGGTTATCTGTATATGGAAACAAAGTTTTCAGAAAGAACAGTTTTCCTTCTATAAAACACCTTCCACCTTCTTTTACAAAAGTCCTTAGAATATTAGTGCTACAGAATCTCAGTTATCAAGCTGCCAATACAGAACTGGCATCCAAAGAACTCCCCCAACTAACACTTTTATAATTCACTGAGAAATCTCTTTTTTTTTTTTTTCCCCTGACAGAGGGATTTTAAACCATTTTAGTTCTATTGAGAAATGAGCTTTCTAGCAAGAGCAAGAAAATTAGACAGCCAAGACACGTTTTTCTTAGGTGTATATTATTTAATGCTCTAGGAAGATTTTTCATCTGACACATCTGAATGGGACTTTTTTAATAGGTTTTTGGTGCTGTCTTTTCATATTAAAAGACACATCTAGGAATCCACATAACTACCAGACACTTGCAAAAATTTGCTTATCCCTGGAATGAAAAAAAAGTCAGAGAATTTAAAGACGGATTTATCTAAAATAACATGATATTAATTTCTATCAGAGACGTTATGTCTGTTGGAGGACAGGAACAAAGCTTACCATTTCAGCGTAGTCCTGTGTTCTAACTCTACAAGTGGCCACAAGTTATGTACAACAACAAAATGGGAACAAGCATAGACAGTACTTTCCTCTGCCTTCATAATCTTCTTTCTAATCACTTGTAGTTTGTTGTGTAGTGATTTGTCTATGCATCAGCATCCAGTATGCCTCTTTCCAAATATGAATTCAGCCCCTCCTGGGCACCATGAGCTTCTTGCACTCTCAGGGTCTCTTGGCCATGCCTTTAGTACTCACTGCGTGAAGAAGTGCTTCCTCTAGTTTGTTTTGAACCTAGCTCCTGCTAGGCTCAATCGATAGTCCCTAATTCATCTTATTCTCTGTCCCTGTCTGCCCTCTCTGCTCTTCTAGTGATTTACTTGTTCCCAGAATTTTTTACTTGAAGAGCTCTAGTCTACGTAATTGTAGTGCATGGAGAATCAACTCCATCACCCCACTGCTCTTTTCTGAACCTTTTCCAGCTTTAATGTAACTATTTTGAGATGACAGAAGAGCTGCACATGATACTCAAATTGTTGGGTAAGCCACGTAATTTAGGCATTGTCGCAATTAAGCCCCGTTTTGTTCTCTATTCCTTTTCTAATAGTTCCTAGTATCTCATCTGCTTTTTGACCTGCTGCCTAGCAACAAGTTCATATTATCATGGAACTGCACGGTCTTGTTCCTCGGCACTAATAGCCTGCTCAAAGCCTCTATTTTGTATGACAACATTGGACTGCTTTTTTCCGCTTACATCACTCTCTTTTTACCTACAATAAATCACTGAAGCATGCTTGGTTGGTCAACCACCCTGCCATGGGCAGGGAAACCTCCCACTACACCATATTGCGCAAGGCCATGTCCAAGCTGGTCCTGAATGCCTCCAATGATGGAGCATCCACAGCTTCCCTGGGCAATCTGTTTCTTTGTCTCACCACCCTCACAGTGAAGAACTTCTTCCTTATTTAAATCTAAATTTACTCTTCCACTTTGAAGCCATCACCCCTCATCCTGTCACTACAAGCCCTTGTCAAAAGTCCCTCCTTCTCAGCTTTCTTGTCGGCTCCCTTTAGATACTGGAAAGCCACAATAAGGTCTCCCTGAAGCCTTCTCTTCTCAAGGCTGAACAACCCCAGCTCTCTCAGCGTGCCCTCACAGGACTTGTCATCCATCCTCCTGACCATATTTTTGCCCTTCCTCTGGACCTATTCCAACAGGTCCATGTCCTTCTTGTGTTGGGGGCTCCAGAGCTGGATGCAGTACTCCAGGTGGGGTCCCATGAGAGCAGAATAGAGGGAAAGAATTGCTTCCCTTGACCTGCTGATCATGTTCCCGCTGATGTAGCCCGGGATACTGTTGGTTTTCTGGGCTGCACTTGCACATTGTTGGCACATGTAGAGCTTTTCATCAACCAGCACCCTCAAGTCTTTCTCTTCAAGACTGCTCTCAATCCATAATCTGCCCAGCCTGTATTTGTGCTTGGGATTGTCATGACCCAAGTGCAGGACCTTGCCCAGGACCTTGCACTTGGCCTCATTGAACTTCATGAGGCTGGCACAGGCCCACCTCTCAAGCCTGTCAAGGTCCCTCTGGGTGGTATCCCTTCCCTCCAGCGTGTCAGCTGCACCCTACAGTTCAGTGGCCTCTGCAGTCTTGCTGAGGGCGCCCTCAATCCCATTGTCCATGAAATCAAACAATGATGGTCAACAGCAGTGGTCCCAGTACTGATCCCTAAGGAACACCACTTGTCACCTGTCTCCACTTAGACACTGAGCTGTTCACCACAACTCTGAGTGTGATCATCCAGCCAATTTCTTATCTACCAAGTGGTCCATTGGACAAATCCACGTCTCTCCAGCTTGGAGGCCAGGATGTCATGTGGGACAATGTCAAACACTTTGCATAACGGTAGTGACATCAGTTGCTCTTCCCTTATCCACCAACTCTGTAACTCCACCGTAGAAGGCCATCAAGTTTGTCAGGCCTTGAGTTGATTTGACCTTGGTGAAGCCATGTTGTTTGTCAACAATCACCTCCTCATTTTCCTTGTGCCTTAGCAGAGCCTTTTGCTCATGATTGTGCCAGGCACAGAGGTGAGACTGACTGTCCTGTAGTCTCCCAGGGTCTTCCTTTTTTCCCTTTTTGAAAATGGGGATTATGTTTCCTCTTTTCCAGTCAGTGGGAACTTTAACAGACTGCTGGGACTTTTCCAATATGATGGAAAAAGGCTTAGCAACTTCATCACCAGTTCCCTCAGGACCTGCAGGTGGATCTTATCGGGTCACATGGACTTGTACACCTTCAGGTTCTTTAGATGGTTTCAAACCTGATCTTCACTTACCACGGGCAGAGTTTCCTTCTCTCAGTCCCTGTCTTTGCCTGCTGCAACTTGTCCTGTGTGACTGGAGACCTTGCCAGTGAAGACTGTGGCAAAGAAGTCATTGAGTACCTCAGCCTTCTCCATAGCCCTTCCGACCAGGTCTCCAGTTTCCTTCCAGAGAGGGCCCACATCTTCCCTATTCTTCCTTTTATCACAGACATACCTGTAGAAGTTTTCTTGTTACCCTTGATGTACCTGGCTAGATGTAATTCTACCTGGGCTTTAGCTTCCATAACCTGATCCCTGGCTGCTTGGACAACTTCTCTATATTCTTCCTAGGCTACCTGTCCTTGCTTCCACTCTCTGTAAACTCTCTTTTTGCATCTAAGTGTGTCCAGGAGCTCCTCGTTCATCCACACAGGCCTCCTGGCATTCTTGCCTTCCTTCCTCTTTTTTGGTATGCATTGCTCCTGGGCTTGGAGGAGGTGGTCCTTGAATAGTGGCCAGCTTTCTTGAGTCCCTCTTCCCTCCAGGGCTTTATCCCATGGTTCTCTAGCAAGCAGATCCCTACAGAGGTCAAAGTCTACTCTCCTGAAGTCCAGGGTAGTGAGCTTGCTGTGCAGCCTCGTTGTTGTCCAAAGGATCTTCCATCATTTCACGGTCACTGCTGTCAAAGCTGCCCTTGAAGGTGTACGTTAGCCACCAGCCCCTCCTTGTTGGTGATAACTAATCCAGCATAGCAGCTCTTCTCATTGGTTCCTCTACCACTAGTAGAAGCATATTGTCTTCCAGGCACCTCCAACAGTTATAAGGGTGGTTGAAATCCCCCACGAGAACCAGATGTTTTCCTTGTTGTCCCTCCTCTTTACTACCCTGAATACTTTGTATCAATAACAGAAATTTTTTTTCAGCTCTTTGCCTCCTGGTTTTCACCAGTTATTCATCCATGCTCCATCAATTACTGACTTGGTAAGGTTTGCTGATTCTCACAAAAAAATAGAAGAAATCTATATATCAAGACTGCATATTACAAAGAATTTATTGTATTACAATTATTAATTTGTCTGGTAGAGACAATATAATAACCTTCTTCTAGCTCTCAAAGTTTCCCAGAGAAACTGGATTTTGGCATCATAGTTACACTTCCTAGTACTGTGTAACTGGAAAATTGCATGCTGCTGCTAGAAATCCAGCTATTTTAATTTTCAGTTTTCTCAGAGCTCTTAATGAATACCAGTTAGTCCTGGTAATTTCTTTGTGCTCAGTCTGCCCATTTTTGCTATAACTTTATGATTCCTTCAACTGCAGACAGTCTCCTTCCAGGTGTCTCCCAACCAAGACTGATGACTTTGGAATCTATACAGTTTCTTCTGGCTTTCTTGAATGCTCTTTTATATCTCCGTCATCAGTTGTCCTGCAGGCTAGCCAGCACATTTTCAGCCTTTCATGTGCTGGAAGAAAGACTTAATAGTAGTACTTTGGAATTTTCTTGGCTGACAGTCTTTAACAGACTTATCACTTTTATATTCTCCTACACATTAAAATTTGGCTCAGTAGTAATGAATTTGTGTACTTTCCCACCCCTTTTTGCTCCTGCAGAATGTTAATATGGGAGAGAGTAAAACCTCACCCCAGCATTAGATATAAAGAGTCAAGGAACAAGAACAGTTCTTGGAACAGGCATAGCTATGTATTGATTGACCAGAAAAATTGTTAGGACAATTTTTGACTGCATTTTGGACAGAGAATATTCCACCCCTATCCTGATCCAATATTGTTTTGACATAAGGTATTTGAGTGGGCTAAATTTTAGTCTAAAGTCAAATTAACAACCCTAAATTGATTTTTAAACAAATTGAGTGTTGCCTGATTTTCATTTGCGTCAGGCAACAAAAACTCAGCCAAGAACCTGTAAATACACTGCATTTGGGTAAATCAAGTCACTTGTTTTAGAAGCCTGAGCAGGCTGGGCTTCTGTCAACAAGGGTATGTGTTTTAGCTTATATTCTTCCATAATTGGAAGTATGCTTTAAAATCCTTTGAGTTACAATAGGCAATCTTAAAACTGTATGGTAGCTAAAGCTTTGAGAAAAGTAGGTGCTGCATAACGTGACTCCATACTGCTCAA